GCAAGTCAATGTTTTTCTTCACCTCACAGAATATACTTCCCTTTTGGACAGAATTCTTCTTTTCCATTCAGCGCTTGAAGGTTTGCCAGGACCCACTGAAGGGAAAGTCTGGATCACCACAACCTTGGGGATATTGTCAGTGATTAGACTTGGCAGATTTTACAAATATGTCCATAGTATTTGGAACTTTAATTTTCAGGAGGAAAAAAGCCCAAAAGATAATTCCTTTGAACCAGATCTCTTTGTGGGACGCCAATTTATACATCAGTCTTTTCACTGTTCTTTTTCAAATAATGTTTTTTCTGTCAAAGGCCGGAGAAGATGCACTGAGAAAGCACCACTGGAGACCCAAGACAAAAGAAATGGGATCCAGATCCCAAATCAAATCTTTCTTCACAGTGTCATTAAGACTCTGGCTCATGCCTTGAATGCTGCATATTCCTTCAGATCCAGTAGGAGAAGGAAGGAGGACAAAGAGATGTTGGGGACTACAAGGCTACAGCCATGGCAGGTAAGGGGTCCATGAAACTTAGTTCCTTTGGAGAAGGAATCTCAAGGAGAAGGAAGTGAAGCAGCTGAACCTTCCCGTGCTACAAAAGGCTAAAAGGATTAGACAATCTAATCTTCAAGGAGATAATGATTCATACAGTGGGCACCATGACAGATATATCTTGCTATGAACAAACTGCTAATTGTAAAAGGGATGTGTGCATTTTTAAATCAATTCATGTGTATATTGGTTTGTGATTAACATCATAGAATTTGAAATTCATAAATTTGAAGGAGACCCTGAGACCATCTAGCCCAACACTTCCTCTCTGCAGGAATCCCATCTAAATCTTCTCTGTTTGATATCTGCACTGTCTTTGCATAAAGATAATCAGTGAATAGAGACTGAACTTTTCTGGTTTCCTGGCTCAGCTCTGAAACTTACCCTTCTTTTAGGATGGTTTTTAAATAGAAGATTGTGGGATGGGGGAGAGAGGCTTCCTAGGGAATGCTCAGATAAAAAACTGAGATTCTTATGGATGCATTTCTTCTTTTCCATGAGCATTAGACTGCTGATTTATATTCCATTGGCAATGAACTACTATTTTGACATCATTTTCACAAATATTACCAAATTTGGTATCCTTCACCCTTCTTCCTGTGCATCATTAATGACATTATCATCAAATTAATTATATGATTCTTATCAAAAGTCAGGTATGGATAATCTGGATTTTACTTATGCACCTTTCTTTCTCAGGAAATCATAAATATTTTTTTCTGGAAAATTGGTATTTTTTTGAAAAAGAGATCAAACCAGATTATTCTAACAATTGTTATAAATCTTGCATCATATAATCACAATTTAACTTTTTAACCATATTTATAAAAATACTGAAGAATAGATGACCAAGAACAAATTATTATTCATAAGAACCATTGAAAATTATTTGAGTACAATTTTTAAGACAGCTTTTATCCATTTCATTATCATACCACCCTTCCCTACTTTAACTGGGTTCCTAATCATCAGTTCAGAAAAATGTTTAATACTATGCTCAAATCAAGTTATATTACTAGCATTCCCGCAATCTATTAAGGAAGTGTAATGACATGTGGGAAAGAGCTTGGCTGATCAGGCAAAGATGCTTCCTAGGGAATGGTCAGATAAGGGGTTGGGGGGGGTCCCATTCCTGCCTAATAGGCAGAGAAAGAAACTGAGAAAGGATCCTCCCTAAATTTTCAGGTTGTAAAGAGATTTGTATTTTCAGAATTGGGAGAGTCTGTTAATGGAACCTTACAATAAAGTAGAATTAGCTCATCTGATTGTGTTTCCTATCTGGTCTGTCTGGCAACTGTATTTATTTATTTATTTATTTATTTATTTATTTATTTATTTATTTATTTATTTATTTATTTATTTATTTATTTATTCATTCATTCATTCATTCATTCATTCATTCATTCATTCATTCATTTATTTATTTATTTATTTATTTATTTATTTATTTATTTATTTATTTATTTATTTATTTATTTATTTATATGCCGCCCTTCTCCGGAGACTCAGGGTGGCTTACAATGTGTTAAGCAATAGCCTTTATACTTTTGTATATTTATACAAAGTCAGCTTATTGCCCCCACAATCCGGGTCCTCATTTTACCTACCTTAGAAAGGATGGAAGGCTGAGTCAACCTTGAGCCTGGTGAACTTGTAGTAATTGCGGGCAGCTGATGTTAAAAACAGTGCTTTAGTCTGCTGCGCCACCAGGGCTCTTGGCAAATAAATGCTTTCTAGTACTTAGATGTTGTTTTGAATGAGTGGATAATCCCTTTATTTGGTTTTTTGTTCAATTTATCTTTTACCTGCTCTAGAATGTTCCCTATGATTGAAAAATTTTGTCAATTATTTATTTGGTCTATATATAGTTTGTTAATATATGAATATATAAATTTTGCTGAACCTTTGTTTTACTCTTTTAAAGATGGAATAAAGTAAAATAGAATAGAATAGAGATGGAAGGGACCTTGGAGGTCTTCTAGTCCAGCCCCCTCCCAACTAAGATGTTTGCAAGTTTGAAAGATGGAGAAGAAAGATTCAAATGTGAAAAGATTATGTGGGATAAGAAATCAAGATTTCTGCTGTTAAAACTCATGGATGTTTCTATTCTAGTTCCATCCCTTTCTAGAGAAGAATGGGTTTTGCAATCTTTCTCAAAAGAAACTGTACTTGGATCAAAATGGAGATGTAGCAGCAGACCTGAACATTATAAGCTGGGTGGTTTTCCTCAAGAAACATCCCATCCAAGAACAACCGGGGAGTTTTGAAAGACAGAGGCTTATTATCAACGAAGATGCTCTTTCACAGCTAAAGTTGCTCAACAAGGTGAATAAAATTGTGCTGAACTTTCTTTAGGTCCAAAGCTTTAGCACCCATATCAAGTTGACTAAGCCTAGTCACCAAGGTGGGTGACCTTCACTGAGCATGCAATGGGGAGTGTAGAAGGCTTACACTTTTCTTAGATGGCTGGGGAGACTTCAGTACTATCCCCAAAGATATTTTCCAGATCCTATAATATGGAACCCTGTTTTATTCTCATTCAGCCATGGCCAACATGGGATGCTGGGTGACTACTTTAAGACACAGATCGTGGCCCCTTGGTCTCCCCTCAATAATCTGCTATCTCCATAAAACTGGTGACGCAGTCCCTCAAGTGCTTTAGATTGTGGTTCCCATAGTCTTAGATTTGTTTGTTTCTTACCTACAAATTTGCAAAGAAGAAGGTAATTTTGTTGACTAGTGCCCAAGTTTAGTTTTGGACTGAATTCAATGAAAATGAATCAAGAGTAGATGGGAATCTTTTGGTCCCAGTAAGAAATAAGTTTTGGCACCAGGATTCAGCTTGTCTGGGTTGGAGACAGCATCTCCTGAAAGGAATTGTACGTAGTCTGTGATTTTTGGTTCATGTTCACTCCACTGGGATAGTGCAATACTCCTAAGAAGGAGATCCAAGGCACTGAATTCATAATCATAATCACTGATTCAAAGTGAGATAAAACTTGACTCTGAAAACTGAAGCACTCAAACACGATTCTTGTATCAAAGGAAAGCCCTTCCTGATATTTGAAGGAATGAGATATAGTTTGAAAGAAAAGGCTTGTCTTGGATTCCTAGCTGGGCCTTAAAAAAATCCCTTTTCTATACTTGGCTCATAATCATGTCGCATTTGCTGCAGCAAAAGATGCCCGATTGTTTGAGGGACATGTTCTCACCACCTCACCTCCGTCTGGAAACTGTGCAGAAACTTAGTCTTACTTCACCAACTTGGCAATCAAATAAATTGAACAATTTAATATACAAATAAAATAGAACAAACTTTAAGGTTGACAGCGCTAATATTTAAGGAATTTTCCCTTTATCTTTTAACTGGGAGATGGTTTTGAATTACTTTCAAAGGGGAATAGCCTTGCAATATTTTATATAGTCTAGAAGAAACCTTTCTAGATCATACTGGTTTTTTTCTTCATCATAATTTTAAAATTTTTAAAAATTTGAAAATACTCTAATGGAATAAAATTTAAAAATTTTAGTTTTATTCTAGCACAGAATACCAAGAGACCATCATACTGTAAAATCTGTATGAAAAATAGAAGAATGCATGTTAATACAGCCATGAGGTAGAAACCACTGGTTGCAATGTACAACTTAATTCTTTTCTCAATTCCGTCACTCCAGACTTTATTAAATACAAAAGTCCTTTCTTGAAATATTGTGCCAGAAACAAAAGGGAAGAACTAAATGAAGAATCTGGGAATAGTTGAATTTCCTGCAACTGTTTAAAACTTTTTAGAGATTTCATAGTTTCCTATGTGAAGCTCAGAGACTCCTTGTCTAATATTCAGGTTGACCACAATTTTCCATGGATGGTGCATCCTAACCCATTTTCTTTGGCATTCCTTGTTTATCTTCTTAGTCTCTGCCTGAGTCCAAATGTGTGGAAAATTGTTATCCTGGATTTTTGAAACAGGCTCAGGAAGGAGAGCCTGTTTGCTCCTACGACTGTGTTCCTTGTCCAGAGGGGACCATCTCCACTCAGGAAGGTGGGTGACACCAGAGGAAATGCTCTTGGATATAGACAGAGCATTTCAATCAATATGCTTTTAATAGAGACAGATTTAAATTTGACTATTTTATTGTTGTTCTTTGTTTCTCAACAATTTGTTCCACAATGGGAGGAATAAGAACAAGATCTTGAAGGGTGAAGTAGGAAAAGATAGAAAGACATGGTAGATTGAGCAAGATTACTTCACCCAGAGTAAATCTCTCTTCTACTTGTCACTTTGGGAATGTCTTTCAAATATTACCTTTGTTGGGAACATCTGAATTCATGGAACCTTGAAGAATGGTTTCAGATCAGTGGTTCCTCCTCACCCAGAGAAATGTTACCCTACAGGCCAAAAGGTACAATAATCAACCAACCAATCAGTCATTGTTTTTTCTTTTTTGAAGATTATAGAGCCAGATAAGCAGAAAATGGGAGGACCATAGAGGGGGAGAGGTGTTAGTTTGCGGTTCCAGCCCAACACTGGGACTGTTTGGCCTAGCACAATTTGAACCAAAAATCTCACTGAGGGGAAACTGGAGTTCAGGACTTTATTTCTGCACGTTCTGCAGTAAGGATGGATGCTCTGACCAAGTCCAAATGCTGAGGTTCCACAAACTTTTTTTTATAGTTTTATGAAATATTTCCTAGTTGTATTTCCATGAAAACTAAATTGACATTATGTTAAATAAATATTGGCATTTATTTTCCTCAGATGTGGAAAAATGCACCAAGTGTCCAGATGATAAATATCCAAATGAGAAAAAAGTCCAATGTATCCCGAAAGTTATAACCTTCCTGTCTTATGAAGAACATCTGGGCATCATCTTGGTCTCCTTTGCCCTGCTTTTGTTCCTAACCACAGGTGTCATTTTAATCATATTCCTTAAATACATAGAGACTCCTATTGTCAAAGCAAACAACCGCGACCTCTCCTACATCCTCTTGGTATCCCTGATGTTTTGCTTCCTGTCTTCTTTTCTCTTTATTGGCCAACCAAGGAAAGCCACCTGCCTTCTCCGACAAACCATGTTCAGCATAGTCTTCTCAGTAGCTGTGTCTTCTGTGTTGGCCAAAACAATCACAGTGGTACTGGCATTCTTGGCCACAAAACCAGGGAACAGAGTGAGGAGATGGTTGGGGAAGAGCTTGGCCAACTCCATCATTCTTTCCTGTTCTGCTGTCCAGATGTTCATCTGTGCCATGTGGCCGGGAGTTTCTCCCCCATTCCCTGACTCTGACCTGCAGTCCCAGCCTGGAGAGATCATCCTTCAGTGCAATGAAGGCTCGGTCACCATATTTTATGTTATCCTCAGCTACATGGGCTTCCTTGCTGCTATTTGCTTCATAGTGGCTTTCCTGGCCAGGAACCTGCCTGGGGCCTTCAACGAAGCCAAGCTGATCACTTTCAGTATGTTGGTCTTCTGCAGTGTCTGGATCTCTTTCCTGCCCACCTACTTGAGCACCAAAGGAAAATTCATGGTGGCCGTGCAGGTCTTCTCCATCTTGGCCTCCAGTGCTGGGCTTCTGGGATGCATCTTCTTCCCCAAGTGCTACATTATCATCCTGAGACCAGATCTAAACAGAAAGGAGCATCTAATGATAAAAATAGGGAGCTGATAATAAAATTGTTTCTCAGACTCATAACATGTAATTTTTCATTGCGGTTATTATTGGATTGTATGCTTCTTTTGCATCTTTTACAGAATAAAGGTAATTTAATAACAAACAAAAGAAAACATATGGGTGTAAGATTAATGAAATTAAAACCCAACATAATCATCAAACAGTAAATTAATTAATCATTAAAATTGTTATGTAGCCAGGGAAGGACAGGATAAGAAATAAGGTAGTTGTATTAAGATAAGATGGCTGAAGAGAAGAGACAAGATTCCCTAAAGAGAAGGGGAAGGAGTCTTTTGCCTTGGGTAGGATGAATATGGAAATCTAAGTCTGTGTGAACATGGCCTCGTTCTCTCTGTGGTAGTTCTCTAAAGTAAGGGATGGAAATAGAGCTGGTGAGATCATCCTTCAGTGCAATGAAGGCTCTGTCACAATGTTTTATGTTGTCCTCAGCTATATGGGTTTCAAGGACATTCAGATGACCTCCAGTTACAGGACTCTGTATGACCTTTTATATTTTATCTGCTGGTGTTAGGTGCCATCATAAGTCCTTGTTGGGACTTCCAGAATTCCATGACCTCAATGTTGAGCCATCACTCTCCCAACACCCTTTCTGGACATGTCCCAAAAGGAGACACCCCACTGCAAAAAGTATCGGTGAGGTTCAACACCTTCTATGCAGTCTTGATCTAGGAAAGAAAGAAGAAAACAGCCTTAGACCAGATTTGTCTTTTATCCATATGGTTCTCTGGTCCCCAAAAGGGAAGCTTTCAGCATTGTGCCATGAATGGGAAATGAATCTATGAATGAAAATGGCAGGAGGCCATTCTCTATTCAGAGTTAAGTAGGAAGTTAAGATGGACTTCAAGTTGAGTCCATCTTCTCCAGAATCTTAAAATGGACTTCAAGTAGAGTCCATCTTCTCCAGAATCTGCCTAGAGGTCAATTGTCTTCACTATGTTCAATCAAAAGGAAAGGGTGAGAAAAGCCCAAATAGGAGAGTAAACAAAGCTGAGGATCCATTCCCTGATCTTCCCTCCCTTCCTTGAGGAAACAACTCTAAGGAGAAGTGAGAAAGGAGAAAGTTCCCTCCCCCCACCCCTTGTCATAACTGGAGCTGTATTTGAAATAAAGCTTCTCTGTGCATTCAAAGGTTTTGCAAAGACATCTCTTTGTGGCGATTTTCAGCCTAGAGTTTCCATCAGTGCCAGTCTACTCAACATGCCTTGAGATTAGAGATAAGGCAACCAAAGAAATGTCTACCTTGAATGGAGAACCATTTCATAACATTCTCATCTCTGATGTGTATGCACACAGACAATCAGACAGACAATCACACACACACACCATGTACAGGTCAGACTGAGGAGACTTTATGATGACATTCCTTCTTTGTAAGCATGTTGTAAGCACTCCTCTCCTCTCTTCTACTTCTCATCTGAGTTTGGCAGACTTATAAATTTGTTTAATAAAAACGTATAAGTTTTTATGAGCTTTCTATTTTGTTGTGTTTAAAATTGTAAGCCATCCAGAGTCCCCTGTGTGTGAATACAGTGTCTGTAAAAATCTGTTTATTAAATAAATATATAAATATTTATATATTTCAGAAAGGAGGGGAAAATGATGCAAAAAAAGGAGAAAGTGATCCATCCATCCATATTCATAAATAATGGCATAATAAATATCAGGTTACTTCTTGCCCTTTTTTTATCTGCAAAGGAAAATGGTCTTAGTTGGAAGAAACATTTGCCTCTTCAGAGTGAGGGGTTTCTATGGGAATTTCTCTGAAAAAACTTCCCATAGATCACTATGAGCTTCAAGGCCACATTCTTTATCTCTTCATTTGTCTACTAAACAGTCTCATTCATCTGTAAACTGCTTTTACCCACACTAAAAATAAGACTTGGTGTTTTGCTATTGGTCTCTTTAGGAAATATAGAGGAATCTATATAGGAGTAGCTTTAGGAATAAGAGGAATACCTCCTCCCCGTGTATATCTTACTCCCTTCTTTCCCATCTTTGTCAATTTTAAACCAATGTTGGTATACTATTGATTTACCCTTTCTTCTTCTTTTTTCTTGATTGTAAGATGCCTAGAGTCATCTCTAGCTTAGATGGGCAGCATTTAGGATAAAGAAACAAACAAACAAACTGTCAACTCTAGAAATGACTTGGCTGGAGTGACAATAGAGGTGGCTAGAGGATAACTAACACATGCTTCTGCTTGATACTTTTCAGATGTTTTTTTGAATGTAAGGGGAGCTGACTGTCAACTCTCAAAACAAAGCAGGAGAACCATACTTTCTCCAGCTTTGTTTCTTAGTTGCCACATTTAGGGGAGAGGGCAATAAAGGGCTCCAATGTGCCAGACACAACATAACAAAGATGGTGGGAACCAAGGTCATTGCAACGGAAGCTCATAGCAGCCAGAGAGAGTGACTGAGAAGCCCACCACTTTTCCAGTTGGTTAATGTGACTGGTTATATTTGGCAGGGTGGGGGGAGTTTTATTCTCTTAGTTATGTTGACACGCGGGAAAAGTTTAGAGTTGGTTTCACTTTTGAACATGCTGATATGATGTACCCAATAAAAAAGAACTTTGAGCAGACCACAGGCCTTAGACTCCTAAATCAGTTGGAGGCATTACTCGAAACCATGAAGCAAACATTAAATGGTCAAAGCCATTTATTAATGACATTTTTGAAAAATAATAGATTTGTAAAAGTCATTTTTAAACTTTATTTTGACATCAAATGTTCTTTGGTATTCAGATCTGCCCTAAAAATAATAATGTAGAATTTAGGGAAGAAGATGCAGCCCAACAGACCAGCACTGGAGGCCAAGATGGAGAAGACCTGAACAGCCACCGTGTACTTCCCTTTGGTGCTCAGATAGGCAGGCACAAAGGACACCCAGACACTGCAGAAGACCAGCATGCTGAAGGAGATCAGCTTGGCTTCGTTGAAGGCCCCAGGGAGATTCCTGGCCAGAAAAGCCACCGTGAAGCAGACAGCAGACAGGAAGCCCATGTACCCAAGGGCAACATAAAACATGGTGACAGAGCCTTCATTGCATTGTAAGATGATCTCTCTAAGTTGGGAGTGCATATCAGAGTCAGGGAATGGGGGGAAAGTTCCCAACCAGATGCTGCAGATGAGAGCTTGGAGACCAGAACAAGAAAGGACAATGGAGTTGGCCAAACTCTTCCCCAACCATCTCTGCACTTTATTCCCTGGTTTGGTGGCCAAGAAGGCTAACACCACTGTGATGGTTTTGGCCAAGATTGAAGAAATGGCAACTGAGAAGACAATGCTGAAGGCTGTTTGTCGGAGGAGACAGGTCACCTTCCTTGGCCGGCCAATGAACAGGAAGGAAGTCAAAATGGAAAGCAGGAGGGAGATCAGAAGGAAGTAGGAGAGTTCCCGGTTGTTGGCTTTGACAATTGGTGTTTCCATGAATTTAATGAAGATCCCCAAGCCAACACCTGTTGTTAAAGAGAGGAACAAGGCAATGGAAGTCAGGATAATTCCCAGATTTTCCTTATAAGAAAGATAACTTTTAATCTTGGGGATACAGTGAACTCGATTGATGTTTGGATGTTGATCATCTGGACATTTGGTACATTTGTCTGCATCTGAAAAAGAGCAAGAGTAGGACCTCAATTTAACAGGTCCTTTATTCAAATGCATTGTTTGGGTAAACTTGTGTGAATGACTGTGTGTAGGTGAAGCCAATATGTTTTTTCATTACCCTTTTGCTAGCACAGCTTAATGATACTTTTTTTTAATTGTTCATTGATTTCATTGACTGAGAGAGAAGAAGGGAAAAAGAAAAGATTCAAAGAAGGTGGGCAGTTCTACCCTTTTACCTTTTCACTGCTGAACCTGTTAAAAACTGGGCCCAACCTTTTCTCAATGCTTTAAGGCACCAATGAGATCCAGCTTATAGTGGAATGAAGTACATGCGTGGTGGCACAGTGATTAAAATGCAGTATTGCAGGCTACTTCTGCTGACTGATGATTGCCAGCAGTTTGGCAGCTCAAATCTAACCAGTTCAAGGTTGACTCAGCCTTCCTTCCTTCTGAGGTGGGTACAATGAGGATCCAGATTGGGGCAAGAGGCTGACTCTGTAAACTCCTTAGAGGAGTTTGTAACACTGTGAAGTGGTATATTCAGTAAGTCTAAGTGCTATTACTATTGCTATTACCTAAGCTTGGAACTTTGGTAATGGTTGAACTCCTGAGAGGTGTAGGAGAAGCAATAAAAGATTTTCATGTTGCAGCACTATTAATAGATAATTACTTAAAGGATAATGAACATGTTTTTCAATCTTTCAAGTAAAGATTGAAAAACAAAGCGCCTTGGTGGTGCAGCAGACTAAAGTGCTGTTAAATAGCACCAGCTGCCTGCAATTACTGCAAGTTCGAATCTCACCAGGCTCAAGGTTGACTCAGCCTTCCATCCTTCCGAGGTAGGTAAAATGAGGACCCGGATTGCGGGGGCAATAAGCTGACTTTGTATAAAAAAGAACACCGCTTAGGGGGGCCTTAAAACCCTACTAAGCAGGTATATACAAAAGTATGAAGGCTATTGCTTAACGCATTGTAAGCCGCCCTGAGTCTCCGGAGAAGGGCGGCATATAAATCAAATTTAAAAATAAATAAATAAATAAACCTAAAAGTTGCACCTCATCTTTGCAAACATGGTGTGTTGATTCAGAATCTACAAGGCACATGACAAATGACAGAAATTTCTTAACTCGCCTTGACCAGAGTAAAACAGACAAAATCACCACAGCTAATGGGGAAATAATGGAATCAGAAGAAATAGGATATTGTTTTCTTTACTGTCCTGTTTCCCAGAGTGTCACCAGAAAGATAATTGTCAGAAATGTACTGTATGTCCCTGCTCTTGCAACGAATATCTTGGTTGGCGAAGACGCTCACAAAACAAGGCAATGTAGTGACTGTTAAATGGGGCAGTTGTATTATCCCAAAAGGGGATGTCTTACTTGCAAAGGCTAAAATTACAGATGAACGGTATCAGTTAACTTCACTCAGGTGGTTAATCCTGCCAAGGAGGAAAAACATTCAGACTGCATACACACATGGCACAAAGAACATGGGCACAGAAGTCCTGACATAATAAAGAACTTAACTGAGAAGGACTATCCAAATGCTACAAAAGAGGAAACCAGGCCACAAGAGGTTTCAATCAGGAAACACTACAGAAGCAGTAAAGGCATCCTAGCCAAATGTCTATCCGATGTTGCTTGCAAAGCATTAAAACCCAGAGATGGGAAGGAGAATTCAAAAGAGACTGCAACCACTGCCATGGTCCCAGCCAGAGCCCCAGCAGCTCCAGTGTCAGCTCTTCAGAGAGCCAAGGTCAAAGACACAACAGCAGCATCAGCTCTGCGGACACCCAAGATGTCTCGAAGAAGAGGAAAAGAAGGACAAGGAGAAACATAAGAAGCAGATTTATAGAACTAAGATCCAAAATGGGACAAATATAAGGAGTAATTGTTGAGTGGGGGGGTTGGAATTCAGTGTTGGAATGTATTTCTATAAAACAACTACAACGGTATTCGGCCAGGAGATGACAGTGTTTACAAGTTTGGAACTATGGTATATACTCTATGCTCCTTTGTTCTAAATAGAGTTTCCTTGTTTCTTCTGTGTTGCGATATATAAACATAATTTCTAACAAGAGCAATGAAGTAAATAGTAATTTGAAACATAGAAGATGTGTCGTAAAGGATAAAGAGCAAGAGATGTCACCTCTCTCACAATACTCAACGCTCACTTATCCTGTATCTTCATCCATGATCTCTATCCCTGTTTGCTTGTGCTATGTACCGGATTAATCTCCAAGATCGGTTCTTATAATTCACATTCAAATGTAATTTGATCAAGACTCAAAAAGAGATGGGACCCATTATTACCAAACTTTTCAAAATCACATTCATGTAAAATCTTAGGATCTGTGGTTCTCTCCAAAGTCTGCCCATTTCTCCTGCTGTCACCCACCTTCCTCAGTGGAGATGGTTCCTTCAGGACAAGGATGACAATTGTAGCAGCAGATGGGCTTCCCTTCCTGAGCCACCTTCATGAACCCAGGAGGACAGCTTTCCACACACCTGGAAGGAGGCAGGGGCTGGCCAGAGAGAAGGAAATAAAAACACCCACAGAATGAATTATTGTATTCCTTAAGGAGGTAAAGGGAGAACTTTGGACAATTCCAGTTCAAGGCTTAGCTTGGCTATATTAAAGCCTACAATAAACTTAGAGTCCATCAAACTGATTTGCCTGCATGATGTAGGTCTGTTTATCCACTCTTCTAATTTTTCTCACACTACAATTTTATTTTACGTTCTCAATGTATCTACTCAGGAGAAAGATGAATGGATTTCTACTTTGGCAAAATCAATCATTTTGTCCTATGATTTAATTCTAGCTCCCTTGAAGAAGACTGATACACAGTTAACTGGAATAGTTAAGAATATTTTTCTCACAGACTCCTGAACAACCAACCAAAAGTTAATTTTCCCCTCTGGGAAAATTGAGATGACACCCAAGCCTGTCCCTTCCCCAATGCTGCAATCCACTTGGTAAGACTCTGAAAAAAAAAAATTACTTTCCAGGGGTGGGATGCTGGGGGTTCACAGGGGTTCAGGAAAACCTCTAGCTAGGATTCTGTGCAGTTCAGAAAACCCCCAAATCCCACTTCTGGCTGGCCCTGCCCACCCCTTCCCTCCCCTGAGTCCCCATGCGACCCGTTTTGGATGCAGGTAAGTGCAGGCCATGTGCGGAGGCTTGGGGAGGGCGAAAAATGGGCCTACCGGAAGTTCGGGAAGGCCTCCAGAGGGCCTCCAGAGCCTGGGGAGGGCAAAAACACCCCTCCCCCACCAAAGTGCAGGAGGCCCATAGGCCATGCCCACCATGGCCATGCCCACCCAGCATTTCGGCAGAGAACCTCTTGTTAAAAATTTTGAAGCCCATCCCTGGTATTTTCTCTACCTTGTTCAACATTTCCACATTTGCAATAGCATTTTGGTTCATCATGAACTTGAAATGCGAGGATCCCACACTTTCTAGATTTCCAACTGTCACTTGGCTAACAGACATATTGTGGGAAATCACCGTGTTCACAATGTCCAGGTCTGCTACCAGCTCTCCATTCTCATCCAAATAGACCCCATTGATGGAATTATTATAAAATTGAGAGGTTTGAAGGAAAGGATGAAGCTGGAATGGAAGTGAAAATGGGCAATGTTACATAAACACAGAAACCTCTCTGGCAAGACTCCTCCAACTGAGGAATATAGAATAAAAATCTTAGAAGAACCAATAATGACTTGAAAAATAAAGATGGTGAAGGATGTCCTTAATCTCTGCCATTCATAATTGTCACTGCAGAATTTAGAAAGCCAATGGGAAGGAAAGGATACACCCAGTGTGAACTAATGAGATCCAAAGTTAAAACTTGAAAGGAAATGGATGTTGTGCATAACAACACTGAAGGAATTCTGCCAGTGAAGCCAAAATGAAATCAGATGCCCCACATAGCAACAATGCTCTAAACAACTGGCATACAGATCAATGGGCAGATAGGAAGAGAAAAATCTTTGCTCACTTTGAGGATGAGTAAGGGGGGCTTTCTTCTACCAGTGGGTTGTGTTTATGAAACGCTGCATTGAAGTGAGGATTGGTCCCTTGGCATGGAGAAGAGACCCCAGATCTTCATTGTGAAAGATGATCTCCAGTACCAGTTAAGGTCACTTCCTTCAACTTTATTGAATATTTATGGAATATTTTATGGACCATTCTTCATTCTTGCTGCTTCTAGACTTTTTTCTCACTTACCCCCTTCATCTTCTCACTTGACCTTAGCCTGCTTAGCTTCTTGGCCAAAAGAGTCTTCTCCATATGCTGCTGTTTGATGTGATCCTTTATTATCTGTGATTCTACTGAGAGATTTGAGCTGGGGAAGGAAAATCAAAAGGATTCTTACCCAAAGGATGAGAGTCACTCTGGGTAAAGGCTGTCCTGGAGCAGAAGAGCATCCCAGGAAGTGAGAGGGTCAGAGACAGCTTGATATACACAACATACTTTTTTAGATGGTGTGTGGTGTGCTAATGGTCCTGCTTTGTAAAACAAAAAAGAGCCAGAAAAAGAAGGAGGTGGAGGAAAAATATTTTTACCAAAAAGCTTTGAAAAAGAAATTGGAAAAGAAATGAGCAGGGTGTAATGAATTATAGAAAAGAGAGCAATGGAAAATTGTAATTTAATTTGTTTTTTCAGAGTAAAACTATTGTCAGAATAGTTGCACCGTTCTGACAATTGTAAACAATTGTAAAATTGTAAAATTGATTCTCAACTGTTATGGAGAGCTATGCAATAGGAAATAAGTACCTGCCATGCCTTCAGCATAGGAGTTTTCAAGTTTTTACCATATTTAAATGTCCTCCTGGATCTGGATATATAAGCAGCATTTAAGGCCCTTGCCACAGCCCAGATTGTGTTGTAGATGAAATAGTTGTCCCCAGTCAGGATTGGATCTATTTCTTCTTTCTTGAGAAACTCTATGTTTTCTCTCTGCCTGCACCGTCTCCACCCTTTCACTGAAAAGGCATTGTTGTCGTAGGAACACAAGAAGGAATTCTCTACAAAGTGTCTCATAAGAGAGTAAAATTTAAAATGCCCACCATAGTTTCCAATTTGCTTTTTCTTCATAGGAAAGGAAAATATGCTATGGATGTAATTAATACGAAAGGGTTTTTTTGACAAATAAACAGTGAAATCCCAGCGGATTGTGGTGATCAGGACTTTTCCTCTAGGAGGTTCAATAATTATTTCAAATATTTGAAACAAAACTGAAACACCTGCATTGAATGTAGTCAAGTCTGCACCATAAATAAAGACCTTCATCTTTCTCCAACTAAGGTATAAATAAAAATTTATGTTCACTTTCCAAGAAGCCGGCAAAAAGGTTTGTGATAAAACTGGGCAAATGCCATTCCTGCTCAACAGGGAAGTCATCGTCCTCATGAACCTTTGTCCATTCTCATTGTCTGGAGCAAGGAGACCCACCAAGGTCCACCTGAAATGGAGGACCAGCTTCACCATCCCCAGGTATTGGACTCCTTCAGCTGGGAGCATTGGGTGGAAGAAAGGATTTTCATCACTCACAACCTGGGAATCAAAACCATGACTGATCTGAAAAGGGGGGGGGGAGATTAACTTTGTTTTATTGGGAGATCATAGAAACAAAACCTAGCCCTAATGGAAGAATTGCTCCACTCCTTACAATGAAGAACCTTTTATAGGGAGTCTCTGGTTATTCTGTTTACATTTTTTCTCTTCTCACTTCAGTGCAGCACTTGGCTGTTGTAAAGAGCCAGAAGAGATGCACAGTCTGCATTACGAGTGTGCCAGGGAGGGGATTTTCTTCTCGGATCCTTCTCTTCCATTTGATAGAACCCTCATCCTTTCTTCGTGCAATTCCCAAAATAGAACTTTGCTCTTCCTTTACAACAGAGGATGTCTGGCTGTAAGTTACATGTCTAAAAATGGTCTTCACAACAAAGACACACCTGTGGGATTTTGAAGGTTCCCAACATGGTTGAAATCTGGAAGGAGATGTCTGTATCAGCCCCTTCAAGAACAGCCACGGTGTTTCTCTGCCTTCCACAACTGTAGTTGGGAACATTGGCCTCCCCCTCCGAAAGCAGGTCCAGCAAAGCCTCCGAAGTCATTTGTGTTGTGAAATAATGGTCATAGATGTTGTATCCCAGGGTGACATTGAACAAAATGTTGGGATTCTTGTTGATTGCCTGGATTGCAAAAAGGAAGGATAGGATTTTCCAGTACTCTGTTAATGCTTTCCTAAAAGTATGAATATATTAGGACATAATCAATGGAAGTGACATTTTATTTAACTGTTCTTTCAACAATTGTATTTCTAATCCACCTACGTCTGAGAGGTTTGGAGGCATTTTCAAATGTTCAAAAAATATTTCACCTATCTGAATGGAACTCTGGGATTCTTTCCATTTTTCTTTTATTTTTGGATACTGAATGCACATGTCTCAGTCGATCTAATTATTGTTAGCTTTCTTTAATTCTTTTTTAAATTTATATTTATTAAGAACTTTTACAGAAATAAAATATTAATGAGAAGAATAAAGAAAGAAAGAAAGAAAGGGAGGAAGAAAAGATCCAATAAATTTTTAAAAAAGAAAGAAAACTGATTTCCCATTTTCTTTTGAATAGATATTTTTTATTTCTGCAAATTCTACCTTTTTCACAATCTAGTCCTTCACTGTGGGAATTCCAGATTCTTACATCCTTGAGCATATAATAATCTCACTGCAGTTATCATATATAAAATTCATCCATTATCAATGCATTTTAATTCATTGTTCAGATGTCCCAATAAAAAAGAATCTGACTTTTTTTTTTTACAATTTTTAGCCTTTCAAATTCTTGCATTATTTGTCAATTTCTATCTGAAATTTCTCAGTTTCCTCACAAATCTGCCTTGCATGATAAAATATTTCCCCATGCTTTTCACAATTCCTGCATTGGTTTGAAATAAGTTTACACCTTTTTGATAATTTCTCTGGTGTCATATACCGAGAATAGATCATTTTATTTTTTAAAAAAATATATCTTAAATTATGACAGTGTAAACTGAATATTTGTTACCCCAATTCTCTGTCTCTATTTAATATCCAAATGTAATAGTGCATTCAGTCATTCAAATTTAACCTGTTCGTCTTCTGTTTGAAATCCTTAAAACTTTATACATTGTTGTTACACATTCCCAATTTGTACGTAATGCATTCAAATTCAGTTTAGCTTATTCTTCACATTGTCCTTATTCTTGCTGTTGTATTAACATTTCAGACTGACTTTCAATCTCTTTCTATCCCTTTGCCTATTTATCTTCTCCAATAATTAATAATTGGAAGTGTCACCTATTATTCCACATGAAATATACAATCATTAAACGACACATAGAGACAGAGACCCCACTTTGACACATAAAATAAGCAACTATGACTGTTAACAAATGGAGTAAATGCTTAAATGCTGGAGATGTTTATATGACTTGTATGCCCACAATAGAGATCTAACTAACTTTTAATTCTTTGTATGATTAGGATGCTGCCATCCACTCAAATGAGATTCACACATTTAAGAAATTCAATTCTGATCTGGGATCCATTCATTTAATTGGTGGTACAGGATAAAATTATCTCATTTTTACTTCAGAGGAAAAGTCAACATTTCTGCATTTTTCTACTGAGGCTGATGACCTTATTGGACATGAGAAGAGAAGAACCATCTTCCCTTCTCCATCCACAGTCCAGCTCTGCTAAGAGGATCTCAAGAAAAGCAGATGCTTCTTCTTCAAAGCCAAGAAACACAGAAAATCTTTACTGATTACTTATTTGAGAATTTCAAATCAGGTTCATCAGCTGAAAAGGATGAGCCAAGGATGAAATGAGACAGAAAGAGAGAAAAACTAGCAGATCAAAGAGATCATTCATTGGAAGAGAGGCAGCTGGAACTTAGGGTGGAATGGAGAGGCTCTAAGTCTGTGCAGGAACTTTGACGTACTGATAAATTTGAGTCAAAGGAGATTTGTTGAAACTTATTGGTAGAAGCAACTTCCTTGTTGCAGAGACAATGCCACAAATGAGAAACTCTCCTGGCTTGTAATAGTTTTGTGGATGCACCTCGTCCCTCTTCAGAGTCAGGAGACATTTGGCTCTGAGACTTCCCAAAACTTCCTGGGACAGCAGGAGCAGCAGAAGCAGCAACATGACTTGTGTTCCTGATGGAGTCTCCAGCCTTGCTTTGAAGAAACAATTAAATGAAGGACGAAACCAAAGCCCACTTCCAAGACAGAAGCTCCAGGGATTTCCTATTCCAGACAGAGTCCAGACAAGCCTTCACATCTGCAGCCCTGCATGTCTTAAAATCATTCAAGGTTCTCTCTTTCTACAGGGCCATTTATGCCCCAATATTTTCCAGTGCAAAGAGATCAGCCAACAAGGCTTTCATATGATATATCAAGGCGAAAAATTGTTATGGCTGTGTGATATCTGAAAGCAATCCAAAATGTCTTTTGAGATTTAGCACCAAGAGAATAAATAAATCTCTATGATTTTGACAATGGCAACAAGAAAATACATCATTTCTCTAAACTCTGACTGAGTCAACAAGCAGGTGCCCAATGGGTGGAGTCAGAAATGGTGTGAATCTGTGAAAATAAGCCAAGGAACAAGAAGGGAGAACTTTCTCCCAAACATCCCTTAGAAAATCTTCTGATTCATTCAACTCTCCAAAGAGAATTTTGGGATGACTCTGAAATGTCAATCCTCAATATGGACATAGTTGATCCTGTTTATGGTGGACTTTGCCTGCCTTTGTTAAAAGATGGGAGGCTGCTCTTGTTCACATGACTACTTCTTCTCTCTTACAATCTACCAAACCAGAACAAAATCCCCAATAATTATTTTTTTATTCAATGTAGACATCAAATGTTTGACTTCAGATTCTGCTATTGGGGCATTTCAGTTTTGAAAAAAGTAGCCATTTTTTATTTCAAAAAAGCTGTTCATTGTTTGTAAAGGTGGAAGTAAATCACAGAAGAAACAAGAAGATGATTATGGTCAGGGACCAGTACAAAAAGAGAGATAGAAAGTACCTAGCAAAATATGTACATCTTTAGAGATAAATTAATAAATAGGTAAAATTGGGATAGCGTAATATTTTCAGATGAAAAACCTATGAAACCTGTGGAGCTGCTCTTGGCAACTAAACCTAATAAAATCTACCTTCTATAAAACTTGTCTACTTTATTTGACACTCTGCAGTCCTTGGTTAGATCCAGGTAAAGAATCAGTCAGAAAATGGAGAGGGGCAAGTTATTAATTTTTTGGCATCCAATATGGCTGGCGTCACAATGAGACGGCGGGAAGTTTTCGGGGCTCTGGAACTACCGCCGATATCTCCACCGCGGGACGATCCAAATTGGATCTCACTGTCCTGTTGAGACAGTGATAGAGGAGGGCACATTCTGTTGATCCCAGGGACACCGCAAAGTCCCTGGTTGATCCAGGAGAAGCTTGAGAAGTTATAGTAGTTCTTCCAGCCTGAGAAGTAGTGGATTACTCTCATGTCAAAGAGATTAATCCTATATTAATAGGATGTCACTCCTTATAGGAAGGTTTAGGTAATTTTGGTATAGTTTCTAAATACTCCCTACCAAACTGAGGTTTGGGGTGCAAGTTGAATTGCTGAGAACTTCATAGCAGCACAAAAGTGGGAGAGGAAGATGCAGAAGGAGAGTGGAGAATAAGAAGAACTATCCCAGAATGTAAGAACTAACTAAGGAGTTAGAAGTGAGAAAGATCAAAGGAGTCAAGAAGACTTTATCTGCTTCCCCAACTAAAGGAAGACAATGGGAGGTCAGAGGGACCCGTAGTTGTTACAATTGTGCGGGAAATGGCTATATGTCCAAATACTGTAAAAGCCGGGGGGAAAACAGAAGGGCAAACTCCAGACTAAGTAGCAGGAACCTTACATAGAAAAGAGGAGAACTGGGAAAGAAAATTGCCTCCACTGAATTAAAAGAGGTGCTTATGGATAGCTCTGCAGACTAAACACTGTAATTTAACACCAGCTGTCTGCAATTAAAGTAAGTTCGAATCTTGCCAGGCTCAAGGTTGACTCAGCCTTCCATCCTTTCTAAGGTAGGTAAATTGAGGACCCAGTTTGTGGGGGCAATGAATTGACTTTGTATAAAATATACAAAAGTATGAAGGCTATTGCTTAACGCACTGTAAGCCGCCCTGAGTCTCTGGAGAAGGGCGGCATATAAATCTTTTTTTTTAAAAAAAAACCTAATAAATGCTTCTTCTTTTTATATGAGGGCATCTCAGCAAAGTCTCTTTGCATCATCTGGAAAGGCACTTGGGTGGATTTTTTCTCTTCCTCTACCTGTCCTAGTGTTGCCCAGACTCAAAGCAATCAAATAAATTGAACAAATTACTTTTGTTCAATTAAATAAAATAGAACAAAATTTAAGGTTGACAGCCCTAATATTTAAGGAATTTTCTCTTTATCTTTTAAGTGGGAGATAGTTTTGAATTACTTTCAAAGGGGAATAGCCTTGCAATATTTTATATAGTCTAGAAGGAAACTTTCCAGATCATATTGGTCAAATGTATTTTTCTTCATCATAATTTTAAATTTTTTTAAAATTTGAAAATACTCTAATGGAATAAAAATTAAAAATTTTAGTTTTATTCTAGCACAGAATACCAAGAGACCATCATACTGTAAAATCTGTATGAAAAATAGAGGAATGCATGTTAATACAGACATGAGGTAGAACCCACTGGTTGCAATGTACAACTTAATTCTTTTCTCAATTCCATCACTCCAGTCTTTATTAAATACAAAAATCCTTTCTTGAAATATTATGCCAGAAACAAAAGGGAAGAAGTAAATGAAGAATCGATGAATAGTTGTATTTCCTGCAACTGTTTAAAACTTTTTAGAGATTTCATAGTTTCCTATGTGAAGCTCAGAGACTCCTTGTCTAATATTCAGGTTGACCACAATTTTCCATGGATGGTGCATCCTAACCCATTTTCTTTGGTATTCCTTCTTTATCTTCTTAGTCTCTGCCTGAGTCCAAATGTGTGGAAAATTGTTATCCTGGATTTGTGAAACGGGCTCGGGAAGGAGAGCCTGTTTGCTGCTACGACTGTGTTCCTTGTCCAGAGGGGACCATCCCCACTCAGGAAGGTGGGTGACACCAGAAGAAATGTTATCGGATATAGACAGAGCATTTCAATCAATATGCTTTTATTAGAGATAGATTTAAATTTGACTATTTTATTGTTGTTCTTTGATTCTCAACAATTTATTCCACAATGGGAGGAATAAGAATAGGATCTTGAAGGGTGAAGTAGGAAAAGATAGAAAGACATGGTAGATTGAGCAAGATTACTTCTGCCAGAGTAAATCTTCTTCTACTTGTCACTTTGGGAATGTCCTTCAAATATTATCTTTGTTGGGAACATCTGAATTCATGGAACCTTGAAGAATGGTTTCAGATCAGTGGTTCCTCCTCACCCAAAGAAATGTTACCCTACAGGCCAAAAGGTACAATAATCAACCAACCAATCAGTCATATATTTTTTTTGAAGATCATAGAGCCAGATAAGCAGAAAATGGGAGGACCATAGAGGGGGAGAGGAGTTAGTTTGTGGGTCCAGCCCAACACTGGGACTGTTTTGACCAGCACAATTTGAACCAAAAATCCCACTGAGGGGGAACTGGAGTTCAGGACTTTATTTCCGCACATTCTGCAGTAAGGATGGATGCTCTGACCAAGTCCAAATGCTGAGGTTTCACAAACTTTTTTTTATAGTTTTATGAAATATTTCCTAGTTGTATTCCATGGAAACTAAATTGACATAATATTAAAGAAATATTGGTATTTATTTTCCTCAGATGTGGAAAAATGCACCAAGTGTCCAGATGAACAATATCCAACCAAGAACAGAGTCCGGTGTATCCCCAAAGTTATAACCTTCCTGTCTTATGAAGAACATCTGGGCATCATCCTGGTCTCCTTTGCCCTGCTTTTGTTCCTAACCACAGGTGTCATTTTAATCATATTCCTTAAATACATAGAGACTCCTATTGTCAAAGCAAACAATCGGGCCCTCTCCTACATCCTCTTGGTATCCCTGCTGTTTTGCTTCCTGTCTTCTTTTCTCTTTATTGGCCAACCAAGGAAAGCTACCTGCCTTCTCCGACAAACCATGTTCAGCATCGTCTTCTCAGTAGCTGTGTCTTCTGTGTTGGCCAAAACAATCACAGTGGTACTGGCATTCTTGGCCACAAAACCAGGGAACAGAGTGAGGAGATGGTTGGGGAAGAGCTTGGCCAACTCCATCATTCTTTTTTGTTCTGCTGTCCAGATGTTCATCTGTGCCATATGGCTGGGAGTTTCTCCCCCATTCCCTGACTCTGACATGCACTCCCAGCCTGGAGAGATCATTCTTCAGTGCAATGAAGGCTTGGTCACCATGTTTTATGTTGTCCTCAGTTACATGGGCTTCCTTGCTGCTATTTGCTTCATAGTGGCTTTCCTGGCCAGGAACCTGCCAGGAGCCTTCAACGAAACCAAGCTGATCACTTTCAGCATGCTGGTCTTCTGCAGTGTCTGGATCTCTTTCCTGCCCACCTACTTGAGCACCAAAGGAAAGTTCATGGTGGCCGTGCAGGTATTCTCCATCTTGGCTTCTAGTGCTGGGCTTCTGGGATGCATCTTCTTCCCCAAGTGCTACATTATCATCCTGAGACCAGATCTAAACACAAAGGAGCATCTAATGATAAAAATAGGGAGCTGATAATAAAATTGTTTTTCAGACTCATAACATGTCATTTTTCATTGCGGTTATTATTGGATTGTATGCTTCTTTTGCAGAATAAAGGTAATTTAAAAACAAACAAAAGAAAACATATGAGTGTAAGATTAATGAAATTAAAACCCAACATAATCATCAAACAGTAAATTAATTAATCAATAAAATTGTTATGCAGCCAGGAAGGGCAGGATAAGAAATAAGGTGGTTGTATTAAGATAAGATGGCTGAAGAGAAGAGACAAGATTCCTTAAAGAGAAGGGGAAGGAGTCTTTTGCCTTGGGTGGGATGAATACGGAAATCTAAGTCTGTGTGAACATGCCCTCATTCTCTCTGTGAGTAGTTCTCTAAAGTAAGGGATGGAAATAGAGCTGGAGAGATCATCCTTCAGTGCAATGCAGGCTCTGTCACAATGTTTTATGTTGTCCTCAGCTACATGGGTTTCAAGGACATTCAGATGACCTCCAGTTACAGGACTCTGTATGACCTTTTGTAGTTTATCTGCTGGTGTTAGGTGCCATCATAAGTCCTTGTTGGGACTTCCAGAATTCCATGACCTCAGTGTTGAGCCATCACTCTCCCAACACCCTTTCTGGACATGTCCCAAAAGGAGACGCCCCACTTCAAAAAGTATTGGTGAGGTTCAACACCCTCTATGCAATCTTGATCTAGGAAAGAAAGAAGAAAACAGCCTTAGACCAGATTTGTCTTTTATCCACATGGTTCTCCGGTCCCCAAAAGGGAAGCTTACAGCAGTATGCTATGAATGGGAAAATAATCTATGAATGAAAATGGCAGGAGGGCATTCTCTATTCAGAGTTAAGTAGGAAGCTTCAAGTAGTGTCCATCTTCTCCAGAATCTGCCTAGAGGTCAATTGTCTTCACTATGTTCAATCAAAAGGAAAGGGTGAGAAAAGCCCAAATAGGAGAGTAAACAAAGCTGAGGATCCATTCCCTGATCTTCCCTCCCTTCCTTGAGGAAACAATTCTAAGGAGAAGTGAGAAAGGAGGAAGATCCCTCCCCCCATCCCTTGTCATAACTGGAGCTGTATTTGAAATAAAGCTTCTCTGTGCATTCAAAGGTTTTGCAAAGACATCTCTTTGTGGCGATTTTCAGCCTAGAGTTTCCATCAGTGCCAGTCTACTCAACATGCCTTGAGATTAGAGATAAGGCAACCAAAGAAATGTCTACCTTGAATGGAGAACCATTTCATAACATTCTGATCTCTGATGTGTATGCACACAGACAATCAGACAGACAATCACACACACGCACACCATGTACAGGTCAGACTCAGGAGACTTTATGATGACATTCCTTCTTTGTAAGCATGTTGTAAGCACTCCTCTCCTCTCTTCTACTTCTCATCTGAGTTTGGCAGACTTATAAATTTGTTTAATAAAAACGTATAAGTTTTTATGAGCTTTCTATTTTGTTGTGTTTAAAATTGTAAGCCATCCAGAGTCCCCTGTGTGTGAATTGGGTGTCTGTAAAAATCTGTTTATTAAATAAATATATAAATATTTATATATTTCAGAAAGGAGGGGGAAATGATGCAAAAAAGGAGAAAGTGATCCATCCATCCATATTCACAAATAATGGCATAATAAATATCAGGTTACTTCTTGCCCTTCTTTTATCTGCAAAGGAAAATGGTCTTGGTTGGAAGAAACATTTGCTTCTTCAGAGTCAGGGGTGTCTGTGGGAATTTCCTGATAAAACTTCCCATAGATCACTATCAGCTGTAAGGCCACATTCTTTATCTCTTCATTTGTCTACTAAACAGTCTCATTCATCTGGAAACTGATTTTACCCACACTAAAAATAAGACTTGGTGCTTTGCTATTGGTCTCTTTAGGAAATATAGAGGAATCTATATAGGAGTAGCTTTAGGAATAAGAGGAATACCTCCTCCCCATGTCTATCTTACTCCCTTCCTTCCCATTTTCATCAATTTTAAACCAATTTTGGTATACTATTTTTTTTTGAATTTTTTTTATTTTTAAACAAAACTTAAAACATAAAACAATTGTCATCCATTACAATTACAGAAAGTGTATTGATCGGTTACAAATCTTTTGTGCTTAATCCTCTATCCCACATTTTCTTATTTAACAGTTTATTACATTTTTATTCTCCTTTACCAATTATTTAACAGTAAATTATCCTCTATAAGGGGAAAAAAAACCCCTTTATATATTTTATTATCTTATCCATTTCATTTCATATTTCATTTCCATTCTTTCTTGTCTAACCATTGATAAAATAAATCCCATATCAAATAACATTGTTTATCTTCTTGTTCCCTAATTTCAAATGTCAATTTACTCATTTCAGCACACTCCAGAATTTTCTTGATAACGTCGTCATCCGTGGGTATCTTCTCACCTTTCCAGTTTCTAGCAAATACAATTCTAGCTGCCGTTAAAACATTCACAATTAAATATCTCATTTCTCTATTATATATTTCTGGTAAAATCCCCAATAAAAATATCTCTGGTTTAAAGTCAATATGTTTCTTTGTCATTTTTTCCAACCACCTGTGGATTTTAGACCAATATCTTTTAGCTTGTCCACCACATATGGTAATATGAGCCCGGGGTCTGATGACACTTCCAACATTTCTCCGATTTGTTCTTGTACATTCTGGCTATTCTCGCCGGGGGTAAATGCCACCTGTAAAACATCTTATACAAGTTTTCCTTATATGCTGTTGACATTGTCATTTTATAATTCTGCGACCATAATTTTTCCCATTTCTCTAAGTCAATCCCATGACCCACATTTTCCCCCCATGCAATCATTGTTTCTTTAACTTGTTCTTCTGCCAATTTTACTTCTAATAAATGGCTGAACAATTTTTTAATCACATGGTCATCAGAGCCTATTAAAATTTTATCTAAGTTTGTCAAGGTGCTATAAAAACCCTCCTTTTTAGAATCTTCATCATATCTAGACTGTATTTGCATATATGAGAACCAATCCATTTCAAGCTCTTGTTCTTCTAATTCTTGCTTCGACTTAAGTTCACCCCTTTCATTTAATAATTCACCATATCTAACAATTTGTTCCTTCCTAAATGTTACTGCGTGTGAGACTGCTTCAATAGGTGATAACCACACTGGAATTTTTAAGTAGTAACATTGTTTGATCTTCTCCCAGTTTAATAATAAAGACTCTCGTATCATATGTCTTCTAAAATAACCCTGTATTTTTGTACTTTTATACCACATAAAAGCATGCCAACCCAACAATAAGTCATGTCCTTCTAAGGTCAACAATCTAATATTCCTTAGTGTTATCCATTCTTTAATCCACATCAAGTTACAAGCTTGATAATACAATTCCCAATCCGGCAAACCAAAACCTCCTCTTAATCTAACATCTTGCATCAATTTTAATTTTATCCTTGCCTTTTTGCCCTGCCATATATATTTTAACACCATTTTATTTAAATCTTCAAAATATTTTTTCCCCAACTTAATTGGAATTGTCTGAAACAAGTATAGAAGTCTGGGCAGTATATTCATTTTAATAGTTGATATTCTCCCTATCAATGATAATTGCAAATTCTCCCATTTTGTTAGGTCTGTCGCTATCTGTTGTTTAAGCTTATCATAATTATTCTCCTTAAGAGTACCACATCTTGCTGTCAAGTGTATTCCCAAAAATTTAACCTTATTTGTGACCTGCATCCTTGATACTTCCGCCAATTCTTCTTTCTGTTTTTTTTACATATTTTTTGTTAACATCTTCGTTTTGTCTTTGTTTATTTTCAACCCAGCCACTTTCCCAAAATCTCCTATTTTATCTATCAATTTGTTTACAGATTGAAGTGGTTCTTCCAAGATAAACACCAAGTCATCAGCAAATGCTTGCAATTTATATTCTTGATTTCGAATTTTCATTTCTTTTATTCCTTTTTCTTCTCTGATATTTCTGTTTAGTACTTCTAGTGTTAACACAAACAACAATGGTGACAATGGACATCCTTGTCTCGTTCCTTTTTGTATTTCAATAGATTCTGTCATCTCTCCATTCATCATTATTTTGGCTGTTTGTTTATAATATATAGCTTCTATAGCTTGAACAAATTTCTCTCCAAAGCCCATCTGTTTCAATTGTAATATCATAAATCGCCAGTTCACATTGTCAAAGGCTTTTTGTGCATCTAAAAACATCAAAGCCATTTGCTTTTCTGGGTGTGCATCGTAGTATTCCAATGTATCCAAAATTATCCTCAAATTATCTCTAATCTGCCTTTTTGGCAGAAATCCATTTTGATCCGGGTGTATAAAATTATTTAGATATCTTTTAAGTCTTTCTGCTAGTATTGTAGCAAAGATTTTATAGTCTGAGTTTAACAAGGATATTGGCCTATAGTTTTTGACTTGTTGTAGATCAGTATCTTCTTTTGGAATAAGTGTGATATATGCTTCTAAACATGAGTTGGGTATTTTCTTCTGTAACATTACTTCATTCATAATTTCTAGTAATGGAAGACTCAGTGGTTCCTGCAAAATCTTATAATATTCCGCCGGTAATCCATCTGGAACTGGTGCTTTCCCACTTTTTTGTTTTTTAATAGCCTCTGTCAACTCCATCATTGTTATATTCCCTTCTAACATCATCTCAACATCTTTTGGGATCTGAGGTAAGTTCGCCTTACGTAAATATTGTTTAATATTTTCCTCTTCTATCTTTTCCTTTTCATATAATTTTTTATAATAGTCTTGTACAATGTTCTTCTTTTCCTCATTTCCAAATCTAATTTGTCCTTGATCATCTGGAAACTGATTTTACCCACACTAAAAATAAGACTTGGTGTTTTGCTATTGGTCTCTTTAGGAAATATAGAAGAATCTATATAGGAGTAGCTTTAGGAATAAGAGGAATACCTCCTCCCCATGTGTATCTTACTCCCTTCTTTCCCATTTTCGTCAATTTTAAACCAATGTTGGTATACTATTGATTTACCCTTTCTTCTTCTTTTTTCTTGATTGTAAGGTGT